AACGGTGACACTTTTGCCTGAAAATCAAAAAATTTTTATCAGGGAGCTCACCCCATTAAGGGCCGGTTGTTTAATGTCTGGTTATCACTACTAGCCGGTTAAACATCATTAACGAAGTTTTCGACAGCATGCATATAATATGTGATCGATAAAGCAGTCGGTATGTTTAACCGGAGTTTCTACCTCCGATTAGTGTTAATCAGACATTGAGCAACCGGCCCTAAGAATAACATGTACACAGGGTTTTCTTAAATTCTATCCTGTTGGCAAAAATGTTCACATTGTATACTTTGCATAAAGCATTGAAATCACTCACTACCCTTTTAATTGGTTCACTTAGGGCCGTTTTCTAATGTAAGCAGTAAAGTTGCCTTTACTAACAGGGCAGATAAATTGTTCCTCACTTTAAAGTGTTTTCGTTGTCTTATCTTACCTGTAAAAATAAATTTGTTATTCCGTAGAGTGAAACTTCACTACATTTCCGAGAGTGAAACTTCACTACATTCGTCATAAAATTTCAAAGGTTGGCAATGCAACATAAGCAAATATAGAGCAAGAGCAACTGTTAGCAAAACCTAAAACCTTGGTTGAAATATCTATAATATCTGACTCATGAACCAAAACCGAACCAAAATTTAAAGTTGGGTACAAATTTTGAAGGGTTACATCGGGTGAGCAACAATTTATCAATTAGAGAAATTAATGCGCTGAGGAGAAAACGAAAACTCGTATATCAAGTTGGCTGCCACTTCGCACGTTTTCGTGCGACACCCAGATGTTACCCTGAGGCCACGTCGCACATTTTCGTGCGACATCTAAATGTTACCCTGAGGCCACGTCGCACATTTTCGTACATTTTAATATGGAATTTTACATGGAATTTGGATTCTCTGGCCTGTGGTAAACATTTTGGTTAATTTCCCATGGCCGCTGTGTATTTTTAATGGTAAATGTGCGACACAAAAAAACCGTTATAACTGCAAAATTAGGGACCAAAATAAAGTCGCGAGTAGTCAAAACTTATTTTTAGGCAAAGAACAAAAATAAGTTTTTGGCCTCAGGTGACCAAAATTGTTAAATGGCATTGCTACTGAACGATCAAAATTCTAAAAAGGCTTTGGCAGCCAACGTGATATCGAGACGATAAAGTGGCCGGTAATCTAAAGGTTAGATGAGAAAATGGCCCTTAGAGCATAATTCGACTTACATAGTTCAATCGAAAACATCTCATGTTGACGTAGCATTTTCATGAGAGCATGGAATTTAATGAGATGTAATAGAGTGGGCCAGTCAATTTCTCCACTCAAAATATGATGTAAAAACATCAGACGCGAGATAGTCCGTCTACTACGAAGAGTATGCAAGCTAATCAATTTGCAGCGAGATATACATATATGGTGGAGTAGGGTACATTTTTGTACACGTTTAATCCTGTTATGGTGAAGATCCTTAACTTCGGTACTCGAGTTAAGGACAACATTTGAAATAGGGTAAGACGAAAGTAACGGGGAACGAGACTTGCAATAAGTTAAAGAGCAACATTTACTTATATTTATTGTTAATTTATTATTTACGATAACCCCGCTCACAGATATTATTGAGCTCAGCTTGAAGGAAACCAATACCTGAAGCATTTTCATTTTTTTTTAACAGGTAATCACAATGTTTAAAACAAGCGCTGGAATCATTCATGAAGAGAACATAGGGCCAAAGATAATTCCTTGCGTAACTCCCGAGGTCGCAGTATAAGGGAGTGAGCTAATCCCATCAACTACAACTTTATTTACTCTATTGGAAAGATAAGATTTTATCCAGGNAGAACATAGGGCCAAAGATAATTCCTTGCGTAACTCCCGAGGTCGCAGTAGAAGGGAGTGAGCTAATCCCATCAACTACAACTTTATTTACTCTATTGGAAAGATAAGATTTTATCCAGTACAGAAAACTTGAGTGCATACCAAAAGTTTTAACTTCTGCAGGAGTAAATTATGTGACACACGATCAAAAGCTTTAGATTAATCAGTGTAGATGGTATCAGCTTGGTAGCCACCCAAAAACGCTGATATAAAATAGTATGAAAAAACGGTTAGGTTAGTTACGGTAGAGAGCCCTGGCACAAACTCGTGTTGAGAAGGGGATAATGATTGTTTAATGGCAAACGAAAGTTTTCTACTAACAACCTTTTAAAATAATTTCGCAATATTAGGAAGCTTAGAAATAGGACGATAATTCGAAATGTCACTTTTGGTACCTGCTTTAAAAATAGGAGACACAGAGGTGATTTTACATTCATCCAAAAAATTACCTAACATTTGCGATAAATTAAATAAGAGATACAATAGCTAGAACTGATTATTTCTACCCAACACCACTCTGTGACTGCGAAAATCTACAAATCTGTATAAATGTACAAATCGTGTGAGCCCTGCTTAAGACGAAATGCCGAACAAATGAATTTAGCTTTCTATTTTGCAAACAAAAGATGGTATTTTATATGTTTTCATAACTTCAACGTAAACTTAGCGACAGATGAATTGGAACCACTGATTATATTCCTAGAAGAAGCACTAGATGTTGTCCGCATTGATCACTGCTGCAAAGCAAGAGACTGCTCTTTCCTTGGCTGCATCCGCAGTTTCCGATGATTTTTGAGTGATCTCTTTAGCGTCGTTGTTTCTTACTTTTCTTTTTGGGCTGCATGCAGTAATTGTCACATAGGCACGCATTTCTCTTACTTGCGCTTTGGACTGAGTGCAGTCCTCTTGCAAGGGAGCCCCCTGGCCTCTCATCTCTCTCTTAACTATCGTTCGTATTTTTTTTTAACAATAATTTATTCGCTCAATAATATTAACATACCTACACATGTGTTTCAATAGACATTGTTACACGATTGAGAGATATAGAGATTGCGCCCATCGCGGTGCAATTGTTGATTGTGAGCATACGAAAAAACCAAATAACAATTATAATATTTTTGCGTGGTTTTAAACAATTATTGAGACATTACAGAGCAAAATGAAGTGTGCAGTGACAAAGTGTAATAGTCAAAACAAAAGTAAAGCGCACGATATAAGTTTTTTTTCGTTTCATACGGACGCAAACTTCGCGAAAAAGTGGGAGCAGTTCTGCCGGTGAGGAGATGCATTAAACACCAAATCGAGCTATGTGCTAGGTGTCTGAGCTATGAGCTTCTACATGGAACTATGGTGGCCTTTTCTTGGTGAATTCTTGTAGGTATATTTCCTTGGTGAATGTAGACAGTTTCAGGTTAAGTTTGCTGACAATGACATACATTAAAAGCAGTTCCTACAGTTAATACATACATACATAAACTTCTACATGGAACTATGGTGGCCTTTTCTTGGTGAATTCTTGTAGGTATATTTCCTTGGTGAATGTAGACAGTTTCAGGTTAAGTTTGCTGACAATGACATACATTAAAAGCAGTTCCTACAGTTAATACATACATACATAAACTTCAGTACCTACTTATTTTTGTTAGTACCTGATTCCTTTTAGTGCTGGTATGAGGCAGTGCATCAGTGGATAAAGTTACCAGTCGCTAATTTATGCGGCATCTTACCGCGCTGTTACGTACCTCATACAAGACAGTGCCCAAATTATATTATATTTAAAAGTTCAGCTTAAATTATGTATTACTTACATAGAATATTTGTTTCCAAAGAAACCAAACTCATACATGGTCTCGGATATGGTACTAAAGTCGTCAAATCAAAGTTGTGCAGTCAACAGCTGTGGAGTTTGTAGTGGCTGTCTACCATCCACAAATATAAATATACAGTCTGCATAACTTTTTACAATGTAACTTTTGTGGCGAGTCCACATGATGAAATTGCAAACATTTTTAATGCATGTGCTAAACGTCGTACTTACATAAAGGGCTACATGTCCAAAATTTTTGCTACATGTTCCTAATTAATTAATTTTTGTATATTTATTGATTCCTGCAAAACTGGACCATTTAATATTAATATTAACGCATTTTTCTGCATTGTTTACATATGTTTCCATGCGTTTTGGTATTGCTCTCTCGCTATTGCACCAAGATGATATCACGCAAAAATTACGCTCAGAAATCCTCTGTTTATTGTTTATTTATTGTTCAAATACAGACTTCCTGAAGAAGGCGCGAAAAAGCGCTGAAACGATTAGGAGGGAAAAAGGGAAAGCTTATTTTCGCTTTTTATTTCAACGGCCGAAGTAGCTCCAACCCAATAAACAATTTTTACAGGAATTTGGCCCAAATCAATAAATTCAATAATTTATTTATTTTGATACGCACAATGTGTTATTGTTTATTTAGGTATTTTTCGCGATCATTCGCGACGGCACAAAACTCGAATAATAGTTTAGTGTGCCTTTTGATGGTTACATGTTTTTAATTAAACGATAAATACGATCTTTTTATTGAGCGTATAAAGAACACGTCCGTACTCAACTGCAACTTCTAAAAAAATTATTTAATGGAATGACTTTATAGTAATCCCTCCCAACCTTAGGGATGAAGACGATGTCTACTAGTCTCCAGGATTGTAGTATATAAGCAAGTGCTAACAACGCAGACATCCATTCATAAGAAACTATTGTGGATAGTATAGGTTTTAAAGCAGCAAAATGTAAATAATATACTCGTAAATTGAAGAGTTCCTTAAATTTTCTCTGAACAAAGAAAAAATAATATTCTGCGTTTAAATAAATTTAGTTTTTAACAATCTAGACGATTTACCATTGAATGAACTTAGAAAATATTTAATGATTTTAGTACATATATATGTATTAAAGCACAAGTTGTTATCGTTGCTTTACGCTGTATTAAATGCAAAATTTCAGATGGTGCTTTGAAGTCTTCCTTTGAGTGCACATATGAATGGCAAAAACATATTTTGAGACTTTATTTATTTTATATGTAGATATTGTACGAATGTTTTAATATATGAGTTGGGATTATTATTATTTTTTCTTAATTTATTTTTTAAAAGGTGCGCGATGGATATCGCCTTGAGAAGCCTGAACATTGCCGACGTGAGCTCTACAATATAATGTACTACTGCTGGGAAAGTGAAGCTAATGAGCGTCCAACTTTTGTGGATTTGGTGCAAATGCTAGACAAACTACTACAGACCGAAATGGATTACATTGAATTAGAACGATTTCCTGATCACAATTACTATAATATTCTTAATTTAAGCGGCGAAAAGCTATAAAATTCTGTACTTGATTATTTTATTTTATTTTTTTTTAATAATGTTGATTTTACATATCATATACCATGTAGCTACCCCGGCTCGCCTTGCTACATCCTATTTTATGTATATTGTAATTCTAGCTAAATGTATGAATTATTTAATGAGTAACGGAAGCTGATTGCAATCTTTGTGAATAAATGGTATTTTTAGTTTATGTATGTATACATATGAAGCGTAATAGTATAAATCTGTTTGTTCTCGTGAACATGCAATGCATAGAATTGCATGCAAAAAACATGGGAGCCATCGCTTATTGTAGAACGGAGTATGGTCCACAGACCTGTTAAGATGTAACGCGTTCACTCATACACCGCAACGACATTTATTTACCTTACGACTCAAACTCAATAATACTTAGGGCCGTTTTCCACATTTCCGAGAGTGAAACTTCACCACATTCGTCATAAAATTACAAAGGCTGGCAATGCAACATAAACAAATATAGAGCTAGAGCAACTGTTAGCAAAACCCAAAACCTTGGTTGAAATATCTAATATATCTGACTCATGAACCAAAACCAAACCAAAATTTAAACTTGGGTACAAATTTTTAAAGGTTCCATCGGGTGAGCAACAATTTATCGAATAGAGAAATTAATGCGCTGATGAGAAAACGAAAACCCATATATCGAGACGATAAAGTGGCCGGTAATCTAAAGGTTAGATGAGAAAACGGCCCTTAGTAAAGAAATCTACCGCCGCACAGTTGGAAATTTTATAAGTGGTTCTGAAGTGAGACAGTCAATTTTACACACGAAAAAATCAATATATTCACAAAAGTGGGGGCCAAATATAGTAAAACTGTGTTTTTAGTTTTTCTCTCTGACGTCAGTATTTTTTTAAAAGGACATTGCAATTTCTAGAATATGATTGAATAAAAAAGTTATTCAAAAGAAGCAGGGCACTGTAGAATAACAATATGGGTATCAATTAAAAGGAAAAATTCTGTAGAATGGGAAAAAAATTAATTTTGGGTGCATCAGGACGAATAAGTATTGAAAATGTCCTTTCAAAACTTTATCCTTGAATATACTTGGAAATTTCCAATATTTGTTTCTCTGAGCCCTGCTTAAGAGGAAATTCCGAACAAATGAATTTAGCTTTCTATTTTGCAAACAAAAGATGGTATTTTATATGTTTTCATAACTTCAACGTAAACTTAGCGACATGCATCAGAACCACAGATTATATTCCTAGAAGAAACTCTAGGTTTAGGAATATTTATTTATATATTTCAGTCCCTGAAACAATATTTCTTACGACTATTCAATGATTAATTAAGTAAATAAAGGTAATACTTAATACAGAAGAGAATATTATTAAAACGTGGTGTGCAGAAGATTTAAATAAAATAATGTAAACGAAAATATTTTTTAAAAACATGCTTTTATTTAACGTTTACAATGAAAGGGATAAAATGAAGGAGTGTAACAAAAAGTTTTTTCCAAAAAAAAATTTTTGAAAACTGCACTTTTAGCTACTCTATAATGCGTAAACTAAAGCCAAACAGCTTATTCTATCGCAATTTGCGTTCGATAGCCTGTACACCTATCGCAATCTAAAAACTACCTTTAATAAAGAAAGAGTTTTAAAATATTTTGATCCAATATGATATAATATTTTATTTTGTAAGCAGCGGTTGCTAAACTAAGTGATTTTCGTTATTTATTTCACGAATATATACAGGGTGTCCCAGAAGTAACGTGCCAAACTTTAGGGCAAGGTAGATGGGGGGGTGAGCTCACTGATAAACAAAAAATTTTCAGGTAAAAGTGTCACCGTTTTTGAAATATTTACATTTTTTCGAATTTAAAATAATCGTGCCTTTTCATGTGTTTTCTTTAACTGCAACTACAAACCGGACAATACTTAGTAAATTTTTTATGTAAAATACTTCCAGATAGTTGCCTCTCCATACTCAAATGCAATGTAGTTAAAATAAATTAAGGAACCATCATAAAATTAGGACTATTTCTGGATTTTTAACTTTTTGATATTTTCTTCCCCAACTTTGACTATCTCGGGTGAAAAAAAAATGTACTGAGCTATAACTTTACATTACATAAAAAAATTGCTCATTTAATAAAGATTTCAGAAAGGTGCCACACTTACTGTTTTGAATAGAAAAAAAAAAGTTATAGCCGCTTTTGTGGGTAAAGGACTGAGACACGCTAGAATGTATTTAATAGATTTAAATTGAATTTGCTCTTGTTACCGTCAAATGACATGCTAAATAGTACAAAGGTACATTATTACCTGCTCCTGACATTATTTTGTGTTACTTACCGGAATTCGGACTAGAGTCTATAACAAGGGCTATATCTATCAATATTTTTTGTGAAGCATGGATTCACGTGAAATAAAATATACATGAGTCGTTTGAAGAGAAATTTATTCATTTATTGATAAAATATGCTCAAATTGGCGACCTTCTACTCTAATACAAGCTCGGCACCTTTTAAGAAAAGACGCTTTTAGAGATCTTAAACTCAATTGGGCTATCTCAGCAGCAGCTCCATTTATTTGTTCCCGCAAATGCTCTTCGTTTTGAATTGTTTTTGAATAAATTTTGTCCTTAAGATAGCCCCAGTAGAAAAAATCTAATGGATTCAGGTCTGGCGATCTAGCGGGCCACGTGATTGGCCCGTATCGTCCAATCCATCGGCGAGGATAAGTTTCGTCTAAATGAGCTCTTACTTCACGCCCGTAGTGAGCAGGGAACCCGTCATTTTGCAGCCATAGTCTTCGCCGCAGGTTTAAGGGTACATCTTCCAAAAGAGTTGGAAGCCGTTCCTGAAGGAACTCTAAATAACTGTGAGAGTTGAGCGTTGGCGGCAGTTCCACAGGTCCCAATATCTGACAATTAAAAATACCGCACCATAAATTTATTTTGTACCGGTACTGCGAACGATCTTCTCTCATTTCGTGAGGATTGTCTATCTGCCAACTGTGAAGGTTATGTAAATTAAAATAACCATCACGTTTGCATGATGATTCATCGCTCCAAATTATTTTATTAAAAAAGTTGGGGTCTGATTCATGCATTCGCAACATTTCACGGCAAAATCTAACCCTCGACAGGTAATCTCTTTCCTGTAGAGCCTGAACACGTTGAATGTGGTAGGGATGAAATCGATGGTCTTTTAAAGCTTTGTGAACTGTAGTTTTTGGTATTCCCGTCCGTCTTTCCATCATTCTCACTGAAGTCGATGGACCTAGTTCCACTTCCTCTAACACAGCTTCAACATCTACCGTTGCAGGACGTCCTGTTTCGCCGCCACGCCTTCCAGGTATGCGACCTTAAAAAAGTGAAAAATGATAGTTAACAAGCAAGCAAACAAGAAAGGTGTAAAAATCACTTACCTTCATATATTTCTCTATGGGTCCGGGCGAATACTTCACGACCCGGATGCCGACGATTGGGGTATCGCTCTGCATAGATTCTTTGAGCAGCTCTGGCATTACAGCAAGCTTCACCGTAAATTAGGTGAATATCCGCATATTCATGCGACGTATACTGCGTGTTCTCTGTCATAGTATTAATAACACAATGTTCGAAGGGTCCAATTTCACAAAATCCACTTTCACTAATTCCGGTAAGTAACATAAAATAATGTCAAGAGCAAGTAATTATGTACCTTTGTACTATTTAGCATGTCATTTGACGGTAACAAGAGCAAATTCAATTTAAATCTATTAAATACATTCTAGCGTGTCTCAGTCCTTTACCCACAAAAGCGGCTATAACTTTTTTTTTTTTTTTCAAAACAGTAAGTGTGGCACCTTTCTGAAATCTTTATTAAATGAGCAATTTTTTTATGTAATGTAAAGTTATAGCTCAGTACATTTTTTTTTCACCCGAGATAGTCAAAGTTGGGGAAGAAAATATCAAAAAGTTAAAAATCCAGAAATAGTCCTAATTTTATGATGGTTCCTTAATATATTTTAACTACATTGCATTTGAGTATGGAGAGGCAACTATCTGGAAGTATTTTACATAAAAAATTTACTAAGTATTGCCCGGTTTGTAGTTGCAGTTAAAGAAAACACATGAAAAGGCACGATTTTTTTTAAATTCGAAAAAATGTAAATATTTCAAAAACGGTGACACTTTTACCTGAACATTTTTTGTTTATCAGTGAGCTCACCCCCCCACCTACCTTGCCCTAAAGTTTGGCACGTTACTTCTGGGACACCCTGTATACATACATACATAATTAAGATTCACTATCAAAATTATTTTAATTTAATAACTTATATTATATTGAGTATACCACACCCGATTAATTATAAAACACTTTTACTAGGAACATTCATACATACAATAGGCTTATTAACCGGCTTCCAAAAAAGGAGGAGGTTATCAGTTCGTCGGAATATTTTTATTAATTTTTTTTTATGTTTGTCACCGCATAACTTTGGACCACGTGAACCGATTTCCATAATTCTTTATGCATCGGAAAGTTAGTGTCTCAGGGGTGGTTCCCTCTGATCTGGTTTAGATCCGATATATGTATATACAGGGTGTCCCAGAAGTAACGTGCCAAACTTTAGGG